CTGAGTGATAAACCCTCCGTTATATGAACGACCAAAACCACTACAGATTAACCAATGATGTCTTTATTCTAATAATTCAGAAATACAGAAAATCTAACATCTATGCAAACACTACACGCTACTAGAAAAATAAACACGACGTAGATTAAAATGACTAGTTTAAAGAAATCGAAAATAAAGAATAAAACGAGATAGAAAACAAAGAAATAAAACCATAAGAGTCACTTTACTGGCGTCTGAGATTGTCGAAAATATCCCAGATATTAATACATTCACTAATGTCCGTTAGCAGCAGGTTTGATGATAACAGTGCAATTACTCATGTAAAATTAATACATCCAGCATAATATTGGTAAAATGATTAAAAATGTATTAACAATAGCAGCAGAAGTCGTTTAGCAAAACACATTAACGGACAATGTAGCTGTGTGTGTGAAGGGGTGTAGCCAAATGAGGGACTCCCCCCTTTCACCACGGGGTGAGAGGAACAAAGAAAAATGGGGGAGAAACAGTCTGTAATCAAGATGGCTCCGACCGTGTGGCCCTACACGGCTGAAGTTGATAACTCTATAACTATCTCAAAGCGGAAACAAAAGAGGATAGGAAAGCCAAGAAAAGAGAATAAAGAAGTATCACTCGCAGCTTTCACAACTCACTTATTTCAACCAAATGAACAAACTCTTGATCAGCACAGATTAAAAATCAGCATTAATTCAAATCCCTGAATCTACCTGCCTCTCGCCGAGCGCAATCACCTCTATAATGCATCAAAAAGGAAAGGAAATTGCTTTACTGTGAGCTGCCCGGTCCCTGAAGGAGCGGGGAAGTTCCGAGGGAGCACGTGGACTGGCTCCGGCCGTGTGGTCTCCTTCAGCCCTTCAGCCCAGATCCGCTCTCGGGAAAGTCCAGTCAGTTCGATGCTACAGCAGAGGGCTTAATATGCTCACGAGTCGAAGAGGATGGATTTTGCGGAAGTAATCGTCCTTCCGGCCGATCCTCACAAAAAGGGGAAAAACACACAGCTCCCAAGCTTCTTTCTCCGGTGTTAGCGCAGCCACTATGCACGATGGAACACTGCAATCCGTGACTTTTGGCGCAGGAAAAACGAAAGCTACTTCCAGTTAGCTTTCTTCTGTTATTTCACGTGAAATGAGCCTCCCCTTTTGGGCCGTGACCCACGGAAAAGAGAATGAAAAATGTGCTCGGCTGGGTTTTAAACCATGAGTGACGTGCAAGCACTTCCTGTTGGTGTATCGGCTGATTGGTTCGTTTGAGGTGGCCGCCTCCCACAGTGGGCCGATACGTTCTTGTTCTCCGTTTTGGGCGGAATCCTTTGTTATTCTTTGTGGAGAAGAAATGGATGGTTTGAGATGGCTCACCCCACTGATTTAGCTACATGTTGGTAATATATCCCAACACAATCAAGTTAGGCGTCTGACACAAGAAGAAATACGAAAATAACATTGCCTTCTGCAAACAGCTTAATTTAAGTAATTTCTTTGTTCGGTTTGATGATTATTGCTAGCAGCTGAAAAAATTAAACTTTCTTTTTTTTTGTTTTTTAGAAAATGTGAATATTTTATGAATTATAAAATTCAATTCATTTTATTTATGTAGCACCAATTCACAACATACCGTATGTCATGGCCAGGCTCTTTAAAGAGACAGTTTAACAAGATCATCCGGTTAGATTGGTTTATAGTTTTCAATCTAAAAAAACAGCAGAACCAGAAAATCTGTTGTTTTCATCAGAAGCAGAGATACAAAAACCAGCTGTAAAAGGCGGCCCGGTCCAGGAAACACACAGCCAGGCAGACGAGCTCCAAGCCAGCTCTCATGTCAGAGGATGAAGAGAGCACATCCAGCCAGTCACCGTCAGAGAAACAGGACCACACTGAAAAACAGGCAGATCTCCAACATCTATAAACAAAGGTGTTGATGGCAGCAGCACAGCTGATATTTCTCTCCAGGATTTAGTCACACCCAAACAGGAACAGATGAGGCAAAGCTACTCTGAGGAAAAACAGAGAGAGCAGAATGTTAGAGATTGAACTAGCAGATGTGAGTGGGAGAATAGAGATAGAATACAGTAAAAAGCAGAGATACAAAAGGCAACTGTCAACCAGCTCCACAGGCAGCCAGTTCATTGGCATGTATCATGAATAATGTCCTTTAATGCAGCTTAGTTCAATCCATTAGCTAAGAAAGAATAGCCTCTTGCCATAGAATTCGTGCTCCTTTCATTATAGAAACATGTTGATCGATATCTTGTGAACTTTTTCTTTCCAGTGCTCATTGCTAGTTGATTTCTATTGTACCTTTTCTAAATGCTTCGCCTCCACTCAACACTCAGTCAGTTTGCGCGTTTATAGGCCTCTGGGAGTAACAGTAAATGGACTAAAAGTACTTGACGTCACAATTTTAGACTTTAGACTTTAGACAGATTTTATTTGTCATTTTGTTCACACAAGCGTAAAACAAAAAGAAATTTCTTTTGGAAACAGCCCACTGGACAATTTCATCTTTTAAAAGCCTTGGGAAATAGTAAAAATGATGGTAAATTTACAGTTCTAACATTTTTTTTAATATTTATATAAATAATGATAAACAATAATAAATATAATAATAAAATACCATACAGTAACCCATTCTACACAACATTCAGCAGTCTAATGGCAGTGGGGAAGAAACTGTTGTGGAATCTGCTGGACCTGCTTCCAATGCTTCAAAGCCTCTTCCCAGAGGGCAGCAGGGAGAACAGTCCATGGTGGGGGGTGAAGGGTTTCATTTATGATGTCACAGGCTCGGGACACGCAGCGCTGGGATGAAATGTCTTTAACGGAGGGAAGAGGAGCCCTGATGATCTTCTCTGTTTCTGTAGGACGTCAAGTCACCACTGAGGTGTTCAAATTGCAAGAATTGGACTAGAAATCAGTCAAAATGTCCTGAAATAGGTGTATTTGTCATCAGTATAGGCCGTTAGGTAAAATAAAATGCCAATTTAATTGTATTCAGCCCCTTAAATTAAATAATCAAGGATAGCTCAAGTGCTAAATCTTGTTCTGGGCATACCATTTTATTTATCTACTCAAACCAAGTGCAAATATATTCTTATTAAGAATACATTTCTTCTTTTCTTGCAGTACAGAGTGTCTCTTACCTGATAACAAACTCAAGCATCCATACCATTATTTATTATTTGGGTCAATAGCCTTGTTTGTCTAGTAGCACAAGTTGGCGATGGAATCAAAATCCTAACTTCCTTTTGTACCTCAGTCATCCTATAGATAAGCCCTCTCTGTTTTATGCAGACTGTTGAACAGTGGCCCACACTTTATTGGTTTTACATCATGATGATTGCATCAGAAAACATTTCAGAGTTTTTACCCTGCTGGTGGACATAAGTAATCAAATTCTCAGAAATAAAAACTCAGAAAACATCCAGCTAACTTCTCCCGCTTATTCCAGCAGTCTGTGGGCGAGAGGCAGGGTCCACCCTGGCCAGCACGGCAGTCTGTCACAGGGCGACACAGACACACAACCATCCACACAATTTAGAGAAGCCAATTAATGTTTTCATGTTTTCAGACAGTATCTGTAAAAACAAATCATGCACGCACCAGGAGAACGTGCAAACTTATGCAGAAAGTTTCCGGGCCGGTGTTCTCTCAGATCAGCATACCTTATCAGACCAGCATACCGATAAGCCAATACGAATGCACAAGACGTCAGATTTGCGTTCATCTCTTTAGTTTTGTACGAAAAATAGACTTTAAACTACCTTGAAGGACGTGTATCCCTTTAGTTATGTCCAAAAAAACCCAAACAATTTAAGGTCAGATTGCCATATGCTTCAAAAAACACCAAAAACAAAGTAATTAAATGGTTTTTTTGTACATGACTAAAGGGATACAGGCTCATTGAAGTAGTTTAAAGTATATTTTTCATACAAAACTAAAGGGATAAAGATGGATAAACTAAAGGGATGAACAGGTATTGACTATGGGTATGCGGGTCTGACTGGGTATGCTCATCTGACAGAACACCGGGAATCGTATCCTTCTGGCTGCAAGGCCACAGTGCTACACACTGCGACACCATGCAAGCCTGCTTAAAAAACATTGTGTGCAAATAAGACCCAATGACTGTTTCCTTGAGATCAAGCAAACCACGACAGCTGTATGTTCATGAGGTGAAATCATTTTTGCCAATTACTCAGGTTGGAGCTTACGAGGAAGAGGCTGAAGAACCGGAAGGGACCAGTGATGGAGCAGAGGAATCTTTAGACGAGGCACTACAGCAAACAGAGGAAGAAACTCTCCCTGTTGATGAGGAACCAACTGAGCAGGACACCTTCTCAGAAGAATTTGTAGAGGAGGTAGCGGCCACCGATGGTTCAGAGGAACGTGCAGAAGAAGAGGATGTGGCTCCACTGGAGGAAGGTTTTTCAGAAGAGCCTGTTGGAGAGCTGGCTACAGAAGAAGGACACCTAGAAGATGAAGCTGTGGAAGAAGCAGCTCTCCCAGAAGAGCATGTTATAGGAAAAGATGCACCTCCAGAAGAAGAGGTGGTGGAGGTAGAAGAGTTCTTAGAACCAATGGTTGAAGGCGAAGCTGTTGAGCATCAAACCATGGAGGAAGCGCCTGCAGACGAGGAAGAGGAACAAGGCGTTGATGCAGCCGGCATGGAGGCAACAATTCCAGGTAAGAATAATCATACCAGCAAAAAATAAAAAGTTTATCCAATGTTTAGCTTTTGGTTTTTTATCTTTTCCATCTTGTGATTTACACGCTTTCATTCTCACTTAAACAAGGCTAAATTTACCTGCCTGAACTTTAAGGACCACAATCTTCACATTTTCACCCTGATATTTTTCAGACACAGAAACAGTGACGGAAGAGGTAGAGGAGGAGGCAGAAGAAGGTGGGTAACTTTGAGTTTTTACACTTTATAACTGGTCTTTATAGACTCACTTTAACATCTATGTGTTTGTGTTAAACCATGCAGAGACTGGGGAACAATTTAAGAATGAGCCCACAGTGAAAACGTCAATTTATTACTTAAATAAATAATAAATGCTCAGGTTGGCCTCAGATATGAGATATAGTCCCATGAAAGATGTTCCACCCCTGGGACTTTATTGTGGTATCCAGGAGGGAGGAAACACCATGTAAATTCAAACCTTTATGTAAAATCATATATTTACACACAGTTTGCTCCCCTAGCCCACCGTACTTTATCCTGCCACGTTATAAATACTGCCTTTAGTGTTAGTATTTCAATAGGATTTGATGTGACGCAGAAACACACAGCAATGCATAGTGTAAGTGCGGATAAAGGAGAAATGTCACAGCATAAAAAATATAAATTTTGGCAAGAATTGGTATAAATACACATTCAAAGCGTTAAACTCACCCAACCTGGTGCCATTTAAGCAAAGCGATTCGTGTTCTCTGCATTTATAAAAGTAGGTCATACATTCTCACATTTTTACATTAAGTAGAATCATATTACAACTCTTAAAATTAACAAAGTAAAATAAAAATTCTCCTAGGAGGAGAAGATAA